GGGCTGACGCTGCTCAGAGCTTGATGGCCCCTCGGCTCGGTGGCACTCATGGGCCTGGGCTTTAATGAGGGGGTGGGCTCCAGCCTCACTTTCTCTCTCCCCCAGCTGGAAGGACGGCCTGGCCCTCTGCGCTCTCATCCACAGGCACCGCCCTGACCTCATCGACTACGCCAAATTGCGCAAGGTGGGGCCCTGACCCAGCCAGCATCTGGCTCCTGCTGGACCCACCGTCTACACATCTGGGCTTCTCCATTGCCCCCTGATGTATTTCACTGACCTTGGCCCACTGCCCCCTCCCTTGAGCTTGACCTCTGACCTGGCTTTGACAATCGCTCTCCTCCCAGGATGACCCCATCGGCAACCTGAACACCGCCTTTGAGGTGGCCGAGAAATATCTGGACATCCCCAAAATGTTGGATGCAGAAGGTGAGAGGGATCCCGGGGCCGGGAGTCAATCAGTCGATCAACAAATGTGAAGGGTTCACCCTTCCTTTGCTGGGTGGGCAGTGAGATGAAGAGGACCAGCTCAGCCGTCCCAGAGCATGGGGTCTCATGGAGGGGGCCTGACACAACAGCCAGTGCACAGTGATAAGGGATAAGATACAGTGGAAAGAGCCTGAGGACCTGGGTTCAAATCATTCCAAACACCAGTGTGACTTTGGGAAAGCTGCTTCGGCTCCCTGGGCCTCAGTTTCCTCTTCTATAAAATGAAGGGCGGTTAAGCAAGATGGCCCCTGAGGCCCCTCCCAGGGCCGGACTCTGTTCCACTTAGTGACCCCAGGCAAGGCATCTCCCCTCACCCGCTTCTCAGGGCCTTCTGGGGCCTTCTCTCCCTTTTATTTTAGTAGCTTGTTTTTTATTCAAATGAAACTAAGAGTTTATGAGGATTTTTGGAACAGAAAAACACCTAAAATAACACCAAGAATCATGGTGCTGTCTTCACTGTCACAGGATGGTCAGAGACGGGAGGGATTGTGAAGACCAACCCCTTGTTTTACAGTTAAGGAAACTGAGGCCTAGAAAATTTAAGTGACTTGTCCAAGGTCACACAGTTAGTAAAGGCTAGACCCAGGATTTGAACCCAGGTCCTCTGACTCCAAATTCAACCCTTTCCCCACCATTCCCTATGATGAAGGGGAAACATGATGGAGATGGTTTGTTCTGGCCTTTTCTAGCCCCCTATACTTGTCTGCTGAGTCACCGGCCCTCAGTTTCCTTTTCTGTAAAGTGAGGACGTGAGCCTGTAGGCTCTCCCTGAGACTCTCCAGCTCAAAATTTAATGCTTTTGAAACCTCGTGATAAATGAGAAGCCACCTCCAGGCAGCTCCAGGCCCGTGCTACAGACAGCACATGAGTGTCACCCTCAGCGTCAGTTGTCAGCCTGTTCCACGAAGGACGCTCTGGGGCCAGGAAAGGCTGCCAGGAAGAAGTGGGAGCCTGGTTTCTGGGTGCAGAGAAAGCGAATGTCAGAAAGCCCGCTGCTGGGTGGTGCTGGTCACCCCGAGATGCCAGAGGCCATCATGCCAGAGCCAAGACGCACCTCAGAGCCCATCTGGCCTCATCCTGCTATTTTTACAGAAGAGGAAACTGAGGCCTGGGGGCTGCTATTTACCAAGGGTCACATGGGGGTCATTAGCAGAGGCAAAGTTGGAATCCAGGTTCTTTGACTTCAGACCTAAAGGTCTTTGTGCTATACACTAATGACTGCCTAGGTGGGAAGGCATGGTGTTGAGTGACAGAGAGAGGGAAAGAGAGTGAGGGAGAAAGAGAAAAAGAGGCAAAGAGAGGGAGAGAGAGACAGACAGACAGACAGACAGAGACAGAGAGAGAGGAGGAAAAGACAGAGACAAAGAGAGAGGGGAGAGAGACAGAGAAGAGAGATTGAGAGACAGAGAATGAGGGAAAGAGAAGGAGGGTGAGACAGAGAATGAGATTGAGAGAGGGAGAGAGAGACAAAGATTCAGAGAGAGAGAGAGAGAGGGTGAGAGAGAGAGAGAAGGAGGGTGAGACAGAGACAGAGAAGGGAGAGATTGAGAGACAGAGAGAAACAGAAAGGGAGGAGGGACGAGATGGAAACAGCATTTTGAAGCACCTCCCCCTTTCCTGCTCACTCAGATATCGTGAACACCCCCAAGCCAGATGAGAAGGCCGTCATGACATATGTATCCTGCTTCTATCATGCCTTTGCTGGAGCTGAGCAGGTGAAGGGACCAGGGGCTGAGGTGGGGGAGGGAGGAGAAGGCAGGGGAATAGAGTTGGGGGTGAGGAGAACTGGAGTTCTGAGGTGAGGCCGGGGTACAAGGCCTCCTGGGACAAGGACAGATCAGTGCAGGTGGGCACAGAACAGGTGTTGTGTCCAAGGCCTTGGGTTCAAGTTCTGGGATGCTGGGAAAGCCACTATTTTCTGGGCCTCGGTTTCCTGATCTGTCAAATGGAGAGTGCCCACCTCACAAGGGTGTTGTGAGGCAAGAGTTTGGAATATTTATGCTAATCACGCATTCATTAAGCACTGGAATAATGGCTCCTGGCACCTTAGGCGCCCCTTGGGATTTGAAGCAGGGCATGTTAGCCTCACTTCACACAGTGCAGTGTGAAGGGGCCCAGTGTCCTTGAGAGGGGACCAGGCTGGAAGCAGTTGTGACCCCATGCTGGACGCTGACGATACAAAGACGTCTCTAGCCTGGTGGGACAGTGGGATGGAAAGAACCCTGAACTTCCAGTCTGGCGACCTAGGTTCAAATCCTAGGTCTAACTCACTGAGTGACTGGGCAAGTCACTTCCTCCCTCTCGGCCTGCCTTTGCCCATGTGAAGTGAGGGAGCTGGACAAAATGGGGGTCTAAGGTCCCTTCGAGCTCCAGAATTCTGAGTCTATAAAAGGGGAAGTGGGGAGGCTGGTCTGGCCCCAAACTTTCCCTGCTCCCAGCTCCTGACTATCCGCCATGCTCAGCCATGGGTTCTGTTCCTGGGGAGGATCAGCATGGACGCCACAGCTGTCCCCAGGACATCTCCAGATTAGGGACAGAGCCTGTGTAGGGAGGTCAAGCTCCATCCTCCCCCATCCTGACTTCTTCCAGCCTGGTCCCCTCTCAAGGACACTGGTCCCCCTGTGTTTCTCCTGAACTGTGTGAAGTGAGGCTAACGTGCCCTGCTTCAAATTCCAAGGGGACCCTACAGTGCCAGGACTCAGGTTCTGGAGAATGAGCTCCCATCCCTCCTCTATTCCCTCACTCCTTCATTCAGCAAACATTTATTAAGCACCTGCTGTATGCAGAGCACTATGCCCTTGGGGAACTTGTGGCGGCCTGGTAGGGAGTTAGGCTACAAGGACAATTAGAAGACTCAACATTAAACAAGATGTCTTAGACCTTAGTCAAAGGGACTCAGCTGAGTGTTTCACAGAAGTCCATTGGTCAGGTGCCTTCCCCTCCCTCTCTGGGATCCTTTGTGGCCTGGCCTCGATCGATGGTCTTAGAAGTGTCCCTTCCTGGGGCAGATCCAGGATCTGGTGACTTTCTGGGGGGAAACCCAGGCTAGCTCCACGTGGCGGAGGAGCATTGACCCTGTGATGGGAAAGAGAACACCCATCCAGGAAACAGGCTTAGGGAATCTTGACCCCCGGCCCTCTTGCCACAGGCTGAGACGGCTGCCAACAGGATCTGTAAGGTGCTGGCGGTGAACCAGGAGAACGAAAAGCTGATGGAAGAATATGAGAAGCTGGCCAGCGAGGTAGGCGTCTCCAGGGTTCCAGCGGCTTCCTTGCTTTTTGTGCTCTGTAGCTTCTGGCACGCTCTCTAGACATCCCCTTCCTTCTTGGCCAAGCCACTGGCTGCTTCAGCCTTCTTCCTGACCCCTCTAGATTTAACCTGCCATCCACCTCTCACCCTGGGGTCTCCCACACCATCCCCACCCCCCATCCCCCTTGGAGACCCATGCTTGGTGCTGAGGAAAGGTAGGTGAAATCAGACAACAGTCTTGCCCTCAAGGGGCTTTCAGTCTAAGGGGAAAGGAATGGGACACAATCAGTTAGCATGAACCAGAATGTGTTAAATGTACAGGAGAAATGAAAAGTTTAGCAAGGGAGAGATTGTTTCTGGTCTGGAGAACCCAGGAAGGCTTCATGGAAGAGATGGCACCCGGGTGGGCCAGGAAGAAAGAGCAGGATGTCAACAGGGTGGGTGGAAGCCCATTCTAGGCTCAGGGTATGGCGCGTGTTTAAACGCACCCGGGTAGGGTGTGGCCTCAGGGTTGTGGCCATTGAACGGGGAAAGGGCTGGTTTGGCCGGAGCAAAGAGAACACGAGGGCCAGTGGGGTAAAGTCTGGAAAGCCAGGTTGGAGCCAGTTGTGGGGGACTGCGCATTTTATCCCCGAAGCAAAGGGAGCCTCTGAGGGTTCTGAGCAGGGGCTGATGTGGCCCAACCTGTGAAGTCAGAAGGTTCTAGATTGGACGGACACGCAGGGCTAGAACAAGAGGGAGTCTGCTCTCAGCAGAAGCTCCCAGTCGCTGGGGAGGGAGAAGCCTGGGGGTAAGCCTGACCCTTTCCCTTGTCTCCCCGTCCTTCCCCAGCTGCTAGAATGGATCCGGCGCACCGTGCCCTGGCTGGAGAACCGGACGAGCGAGCCCAGCATGAGCGCCATGCAGCGCAAGCTAGAGGACTTCCGTGAGTACCGGCGTCTACACAAGCCGCCCCGCGTGCAGGAGAAGTGCCAGCTGGAGATTAACTTCAACACTCTGCAGACCAAGCTTCGGCTCAGCCACCGGCCTGCCTTCATGCCCTCGGAGGGCAAGCTGGTCTCGGTGAGCTCCAAGGCCCAGGCCCTGCTGGGTGGGGGGCTCCCGGAAGGGCCGGGTGGCCGGGTCTGCAGGCCAGCCCCTCTCTTCCTCCGCAGGACATCGCCAATGCCTGGCGGGGCCTGGAACAGGCCGAGAAGGGCTACGAGGACTGGCTGCTGGCCGAGATCCGGAGGCTTCAGCGCCTGCAACATCTGGCAGAAAAGTTCCGACAGAAAGCTTCGCTGCACGAGACCTGGACGCGGGGTGAGGGCCCAGCGGGCGCGGACGCAGGGCACCTGCGCCACGCCAGTGCACAGAACCGCAGGACCGTCGTCCTAGAGGCCCGAGGAGAATGTCATGGGGCAGTGATTTGTCTGGCGTAGCTTTTTTTTTTTTTAACGTTTTAAGGTTTGCGAAGACTTTACATGAGTCATAGCCTTCGAGCCTCACAACAACCCTGTGAGGCAGAGACTGCAGGTGTTATTGCCCCCATTTTACAGATGGGGAAATTGAGGCTCAGAGACTTTCCAATAGCCACACAGCTAATAAGTGTCAAAGGTGGGGAGGATTCCCGGTCCCTCCAAGCCCAGCTCTCTTTCCAGTGCCCCATGGCCCTGTCCATCTGCGACTTCATCTAAGTTGTTACTGAAGAAGGGGGTTGTTGCCGGTCTCTGACTCCAGTCCAGCACCAGGATTCCTCAGGAATCAGGGATCAGAGGGCATGCTCAAAGCCTCCGTCAGTGGGTGATCTAAGGAGGGGTTAGGCCTGGGCAGCACAGTTCAGGAAGGACACAGATCTGCTGGCCTGGAGTCTGCGTTGCACAGGGCTCAGCTGGAGGAACTGGGAGTGCTTAGCTCAGAGGAGAGAAGAGTCTGGGGTGACATGGGGTGGACATGATGGCCGACGTCAAGCATCTGAAGCGCTTTCATGTGAAGAGGGATTGGGCATCTTCTCTTTGGCCCACAGGGCAGACCCAGGAGCTGGGGGTAAATTTCAAAGAGATGAATTAGTATTGACAGCAGGAAAAACTTCCTAACAATTAGAGCCATCCCAAAGTGGAAGGGGTGAGCTCTCCATCACTGGACGTATTCAGGCAGAGGCAGCATGGCTTCTCGTTGGAAATAGAGTTTGTGGGTATTTCTGGATGTGGGTCGACCACTGAGGTCCTTGTAGCTGTGCACATCTGTGATTCTGGCAGTGTTTCCATATCAGCTGATGATTCTGATAAAAATAACTCGTATAGGGGCAGCTAGGTGGTGTGGTGGTTAGAGCTCTGGCCTTGGAGTCAGGAGGACCTGAGTTCAAATTCAGCCTCAGACACTTGACACTTACTAGCTGTGTGACCCTGGGTAAGTCACTTAACCCCAATTGTCTAAAAATTAAAAAAAAAAGAAAAAGAAAAAAGAAAATTAAAAAAAACAAAAACAAAAAACGAAAAAAGAAAAAAGAAAAAAACACTTGCATGATGAAGTAGAGTTGTCCAGATTGCATAGCGGGAAGGGGGGAGCCCCAGGGCAGGCTTCAGGAGGTGGGTTGGGCCCCCCTGCGCGGCCTGCCCCATGCTGAGCTTGTCCCTCTGTAAAACGGTAGCATTGGACTCTGGTGTTTCTCCCCATGACCTCTGACCTTTCTGAGTTGGGTGGCTCCCTGGGTGACTGGGAGGTCCTAGGGCCACCTGCTTCTTCCTCCCCCAGGAAAGGAAGACATGCTGAGCCAGCGGGATTATGAGTCAGCCTCCCTGCAGGAGGTGCGGGCCCTGCTGAGGCGGCATGAGGCCTTTGAGAGTGACCTGGCTGCCCACCAGGACCGAGTGGAGCAGATTGCTGCCATAGCCCAGGAGCTCAAGTACAGAACACCCTGTCCTCTCCCTCCCTGCCTGGACTCCCACGATTCTGGTCGTCATCTCATTCTCCCATGACTCCTGCCTCCAGCCTCAGCTTGGGGAGCTTCTCTGGCACCCCCTCCCCACCCTCCATTCCCCGCACTAGTAACCCATGGATTTGAGGCTGGCTTTGTGGGGGGAGGGGTTGCAGTGACCCACCCACTGAGTCCCTCTCAGACCCTCACACATCGTGAAGGTAGTGAAAAATGCTTCGTGTAGAACTCGAAATCGGATCCAGCTCTGCCACCTGTAGCTTTCCAGGAGAATGGAATCTCCTTGAGGGCAGGGCCCCTTTCAGTTTTGATCCTCAAAGCCTGGTGCAGGATCTGACGCCCGATAAAGTCCAATTGAAGTTGAAGGCAGGGGTTCCAGCCCCAGCTCTGCCTTGGCCTGCTGGGGACCCAGCCCTGGGATTTCATGGGTTCATTGAACTCCCATTGAGGAAAGTCCCTCCACTAGTGCAGATCACCACCTGCTCATGGTCTGGGGCATGGAGCGGTGAGAGACTTGTCAAGTGTCATGCATCAGGATGTGGCAGAGGCTGAGCTTGAGCCCAGGTCTTCTTGATTCTGAGGCTGGCTCACTGCCCACAATGCCTGTTCGCCACCACTCCCTAAGTGTCTGCTATTTTTATTGTCATCATCTGCATTTTGCAAATGAGTAAACTGAAGGCCTTAGAGGTGAACTGACCAAGGCAACAACCATTTTTAAAGTGCCCACTATGTGCCAGGCACTGCTCTTGCCCGTGAACATAGAAGTCAGGTAGCACTTAAGCACCTACTGTGTGCCAGGCATGGCGCTAAGCACTGGGGATACAAAGAAAGGCAAAAACAGCTCCCGCCCTCGGGAAGCTCATGGTTTAGTGAGGGAGACAACATGCAAACTCCAGACGCACAAGCTGTAAGAGGATAAATCGGAGTTAATTAGCAGAGGGAAGATATGAAAGGCTCCTAGCAGAAGGATAACCAGGCCCCTGGGACCCTGAACTGGAAGGCTCCTCAGAGCCGTCTGGTCCAGACTGCTCATTGTACATAAGTGGCAGAGTCAGAGTTCCAACCCAGGGCTCTTATTCTCAGTGCCTGTGTCCCAGAGGGAGCCCTGTGCTATTGCTGATGGGAGATGGGTTGCCATAACTGTGCCCAGGGTAAGACAAAGTAAGCCTGGGTGTGCAGACTCCAAGACCAGTGCCTCCCCATCAGCCCGGAAATCCTTCAGGGAGGTGGGGAGGGGCTCAGGGCCCGAGCTGGGCCACCCTGGGCCTGGAGAATCAGCCGATACCTTGCCCCTTTCAGTGAACTGGATTACCATGATGCCGCCTCCGTGAACAGCCGCTGCCAGGCCATCTGTGACCAGTGGGACTCACTGGGGACTCTGACCCAGAAAAGGAGGGATGCTTTGGAGGTGACGGAGGGGCTGGCATGGGCAGCCGAGGGAGGAGAGAGCGGGGGCACACCAAACCTTCTGGTCAACCTCCCCTCTGCCCCCTCATCCTCAGAGGATGGAGAAGCTCCTGGAAACCATAGACCAGCTGCAGCTGGAGTTTGCCCGACGGGCGGCCCCTTTCAACAACTGGCTGGATGGGGCAGTGGAGGACTTGCAGGATGTGTGGCTGGTGCATTCGACCGAGGAGACCCAGGTGGGTCACTCAGAGAGAGCAGAAGTTTTTCCCTAATAGAGCCCAGAAATAGTTTAAAAATGCCAAGGGAGAAGACCCTGCCCTCTTCCTCTTTCCACCAATGTCATTGGCTGGCTGAGCTTTCAATCAGTAACTTTACTTGGTTACTGTCCAATCATTTGGCTTCCCTGAGACTGATTGACAGCTCAGCCAGCCGATGGCTTCCCCTCTCCTCTGCTAATGCAATACAGTATAAGAAACTGGTCCCTGGCAGCTGCCTGAGGTGATATATTGTGTGTGTTAGAGTTCCCATGGCCCTGCTGGTCCTCAGCCTGTTGCTAAGCATCTCTTCCCACATCTCTTATGTTGGGGGGGGGGGGGCGCAATACCCATGCTGTGCAGACTTCCTCTTAGGGCATGGGCTTCCCCAGGTCTGAGTGCCCCAGGACTGAATGGGGTTAAGACCAAAAAAGTAGAGAGACCGAGAGGTTGTTCATGGCCAGGAAGGAGGTGCTCCAGGTGCTGCCTCTCATAAAGCAAACGCCCTGCATGCCAACCTGCCATCCCTCCTAGCCAGCCCAGACTTCTCACCCTCAGGATTCCCCCTGTTGTCCCCCGAAGCATCAAGCCTAGGGCCTCAGAGGGCATCTAGTCCCACCCCCTCATTAGGTGACCCACTTCCCCCTTTGGACTGCTGGGTATCAAGAAAGGCTGGGGGCAGAGATGTTTGCTTCTAAGATTCTCCCTTTCCTGATATGTGGCAGAGCCTCATCACAGCTCACGACCAGTTCAAGGCCACTCTGCCTGAGGCTGACCGGGAGCGGGGAGCCATCCTGGGCATTCAGGGGGAGATTCAGAAGATCTGTCAGACCTACGGGCTACGCCCGATCATCTCCAACCCCTATATTAGCCTCACGCCTCAGGACATCACCAGCAAGTGGGATATGGTAAGTCCTTGGTCGCCATTGGGCGTGTCCTGAGCTTGAATCGCCCTCCTGTTCAGGCCCCCACTGGCCAGCTTTCTGGCTTTGGGGGTCACTCTCCCCCTGCCCTTTTCCCCAAATCCTTCTGCCTGTCACCTGACTCTGTCACTCTTTTAAAGTTTAACTGGGGCCTTCTGATCTTTTACGCTACACTATACTTAGTACTTCACAGAGCACTTTCCCTCACAAACCAACCTTTGAGATAGGGCTTACAAGTCTATCCTCATTTAACAGATGGGCAGACTGAGGCTCGGGGGGCCTGTGGCTTGCCCAGGGTCACCCAGCTAGTGAGAGTCAGAGCCAGGACGTCTGTACCCATCTCACTTACCCCCTTGCAGCTCCGGTGTAGCCTCTTGAGGGCAGGGACTGCTTGGGTGTTTCTAGCCCCAATAGCACACAGTAGGTGATTAATAAGTGTTTGTGGACTGGTTAATTGATTGACAGGGAGTGATTGCAGCCCAAAGGTTTATGGCCTGTTGAAGGTGAGCAGAGCCATCACATTGGGTACTGGTCCTCGAAGGCCAGAGAATATGCCTTCCCTACCCCCAAGGCTTCTGCCATCAGTCAACAAGCATTGATAAAGTGCTTATCATGTGCCAGGCATGCTCCTAAGTGCACAAAGGCAAATGCAACAAAACCCCAGACCCATAGTCCTGCCCGCAGAGAACCTATGTTATAATGGTGGAGACAGCTGGTATACATGTAGACACGTCCAAGCTCCAGGCAGAGTGTATGAAGGGAGCCTGACAAGGGGAAGGCATTAGCAGCTGGGGAGCCTGGGAAAGGCATCCCCTTCCCCCCATACCCACATTCCCACCAGGGCCTGCCCACACCCAGTGTGACCAGCCCACTCCCATGACCTCCTCCCCGTCCCCCAACCCACCTAATCCCAGCCTCCTGATTGCACAGGTGCGGAAGCTGGTGCCCAGCCGTGATCAGACCCTACAGGAGGAGCTGGCCCGCCAGCAGGCCAACGAACGGCTCCGCAGACAATTCGCGGCTCAGGCCAATGCCATAGGCCCTTGGATCCAGGGAAAAGTAGAGGTGAGAAGATCTGGGGCCGATGGGCATGTGGGGATGAGGGCAGGGTCCACCCTAGAGAATGCCCCTAGATATCTGTGCTATAATCTTGTGCCATGCAAGGGTGGGCTTCCTCCCCTATGGGAAGGGATCTGGGTCTGGGGATGCAGCAGGGATGTAAGGGGGAATTTTGGTGGCTGGGTAAAATTCAATTGGAGGAGAAATCTCAGACCTCAGGACCCAAAGTCCTATGCAGGGAAAGACCTCAGGTGGTAGAAAACAGAGACCCCCAGGAGAGCCCTCAGGACCTGGAAAGAGAGCAGGAGCTCTTGGGAAAAGGAGCAGGATCTTGGGAAAGCTCTCCTGTGATGGGGGAAAGATTCATGATCCCTCCCAGGCAAGCAAGCCCCTCCCCTGATTCCTGGCACTCCACAAAAGGTTTGGTGTAGGAGTCCAGGCCTGGAGCTGTGACATGGGGGTGTAGAGACCCAGTCAGGCGAAACAACCCAGAGTCCAATCTGTGATCCGATGACATTGACGAGCCCATGGCAGCAGGTGAAGGCAGAGAGAGGGCACCAGGGAGGAGCATGACGGTAGAAGCATTGCATGGGAAGAAGTGCCCGCCCCCGAAGTGGGCAGCTCTAGTTGCCCCACCCGAGGTCCAGCTCTGACCGGGGTGACCCTGTCTTTGGCCCCTGCAGGAAGTTGGACGACTGGCGGTGGGGCTGGCTGGCTCCCTAGAGGAACAGATGGCAGGGCTGAGACAGCAAGAACAAAATATTATCAACTATAAGAGCAACGTGGACCGGCTCGAGGGTGACCACCAGCTGCTACAGGAGAGCCTGGTGTTTGACAACAAACACACCGTCTACAGCATGGAGGTTGGTGTGGGAGCAGAGGGACCTGCGGAGCCGGGGGGGGGCATTGGAGGGGGAGGAGGGGGGAGGGGGGGGGGGGGGGGGGGGGGGGGGGG